CGACGAACAGGAGTTGTTTGTAGTCTATTTACGGTGGTTGACCTTTGAGGTCGGACGATACTTCGAGAAGTGGGATTTCTTGAGGTTCTCGAACCTCTAGGTCTTCCTCGTGCCATTTTGAAATTGAAGGCTTTGACTCTTAAAAGGGTTTGTTTGTAGGGTGTGTTCTATTCCAATGAAGAGTTTTTCGGATGTTCCTTTTGATGACCTAGTAGGTCAGAGAGTGAAAACACGCAGATGGGAACAATACACTTGGGGTATATAATATGCACTCAAGGAGTTGTTTGTAGTCTATTTACGGTAGTTGACCTTTGAGGTCGGACGATACTTCGAGAAGTGGGATTTCTTGAGGTTCTTGAACCTCTAGGTCTTCCTCGTGCCATTTTAAAATTGAGAGCTTTGACTCTTAAAAAGGTTTTGCTTGTTGGGTATGTTCTATTCCAATGATGAGGTTTTCGGATGTTTCTTTTGAGGACCTAGTAGGTCAGAGAGTGAAAACACACAGATGGGAACAATACACTTGGGGTATATAATATGCACTCAGAAGTTTATACACTTGTTTTTTAGAAGTATAAAACACTTTTCAATTTGAATATATAATACAGTTAGATATACACTTGAAAAATATAAACACTTGTCAATTTGAATATATAATACAGTTAGATATACACTTGAAAAATATAAACACTTGTCAATTTGAATATATAATACAGTTAGATATACACTTGAAGAATATAAACACTTGTTGTCAATTCAGAAAGGAAGTATACTGAGAGGGTAGAATTGGACACGCGGATTTAGATATACTGAGCACTTTTAAGCGATTGGAGTTGCACTTAGGTATATGAATGAATAGAGGTTTGCACTTATAGGGACTAAAGAAGCTTTTTAGTTTTAAAGAGACGTGAAACCACGCTCTGCTACCAAATTTTGTCAGGAATAAACCCAACAAATGAAGAGTTAGACAGTGAACCTTAATTGAAAATGGAGTTGAGTATGAAAGTTTGAATAAAACTCAGAAATTCGGTCGGGCTGCGACCGGGGTGAGAACACCCTATTATAAGGTTGATATATACTGTCAGGAATAAACCCAACAAATGAAGATTTAGACAGTGAACCTTATTTGAAAATGGAGTTGAGTATGAAAGCTTGAATAAAACTCAGAAATTCGGTCGGGCTGCGACCGGGGTGAGAACACCCTATTATAAGGTTGATATATTCAAAAGAAAGCAACGATTGACACTCAATAAATTCGCTCGCGAAGTCTTGGATGAACCGCACGCTCGAGAGGTAGAAACCGGACTGTAATAATTATGGTTATTTTGGAGAACAGGAAAACAGTCCTACAAGGACGAGAAAGTAAGATTAGCAGAGAAATGTAGCCTTGGAGGCTTCCGTAAGTTACGTGAGAACCGAGGATTTCCGAGGTTCTCACGGAAAGTGGAATTTGTCCTCAAGGACGAGAATTCGGGTTCTCAAACTGCCATCTCTAAAAATAGAACTAAAAAATTCGTGACAGGGTTGCACCAAATTGAGGATTGACTGTAGTACAATCAGTGGACATCTTCCATAAAATTAATTGGAGCAAAAGTAGCTTGGCAAGTTGCTCAAAAATGGTGGTACTGAAATATAAGAAAAGGAAAATTTTTCAGTGCTGGCAGAAATCAGTCAAGTTTGATCAAAGTGACTGAATGATTTTATTTAGGAAATATCCTGTAAAATGTCACACTATAAACATTTCCTCTGTATTGCCTCAGGTTTTTTTCAATATTATTTTCAAAGGATCATCAATTGAGTAATTTCACCTTAGTCGAGTTCTTGAAGAAGAGAAACGTTGGCATACAAGATATATTGTAAAGAGTTGTCAATTCTTCCAGTTCATCCACGTCCACCTTGAGGAACACCACATCCGTGTACTCTTTTGAAAGTTCCTATGCATATGCAGAGATAAAAATGAAAGATTCATAATTATATGTCAAAGAATAATTTGAAAATTCTGTTTGAACCTCCATCTTGGGGGCTATTTGGGTGCATGGCCCACACCAAGTGGCGAAGAAGTCAACCACAACCAGCTTTCCTTCAGCTTCTTTCAACTTGGCATTGAATTCCTCCTGGAAAAAAAAATAATTTTTGAAAAGAGGATCAATTCAAAAATTTTAAATTAGCATGCAGATTAATGTCACTGCTGACAACTTACAGCATTCTTCACTTGGAAAACCATGTCGAAAAATTATTGATGTCGTCGTTCGTATAGTTGATGAATTTCAGCCTGGAGAAACCTGAAAATTTTTTTAAAAATTTGATTTCGAAGAAAACCGCGCTGTTTGTCAACGAAATATTGTACTTTATTTTAGAATTAAAAACTGTTTTTTCTATTTGACCGCTGTAGATTAATTTTTGAGCTATTGTTTTTTTCCTGGAGCCGAATTTTTTTCGATTTATCGCGCGAGTACAGCACTGTATTTTGCGAATTTCGCAGGATTTCAGCGCAAAAAAATGCCGCTTTGATAAGGTTTCAACGTTATTGTAGCTCTGGCATGTGGTACATTAGGGACTCTTTTTTGAATGCTAGAGGTTGTGCCTTTTTGTCGGAATATTAGTGGAAACAGTTGTCTAGGAAACGGACTTGAGCGTCAATGCGGAATACGGGGCAAGCATGCGCAATTTTGAGAAAGCCTATGTGAACTCTTATTCTATTCCAAAGAAATCCATAATTTCCTCGTGAAAGTCTGGAGGAAAAAAGGTCACACAACAATTCCATGCTTTTTGTATGCATAGTTCGGAGTGTTTCAGGTCAAAAGGTTTATTGCCTCGAATTAAGAGAAATGAAAGTGTTTTTTTCTTTCCAAAACCTTGTCCTGAGGATTTTTTAAAAATCATTTTCTCGCCAAAAATCAGGGAATTAAAGCGATTTGATTTTTTTAAACCTTCCAAATGGTACATTTTGGCTTAAAGGCTTTGAAATACTTCTTGGGGCGACTCCGTACTATATGTATATAATGGGTCACAATTAAGTCCACATTTTGGATCATATTTTCTCATGGACCTCAATGGAGACATGTTCCATCACTACAATTCTCCTTTTGGCAGAAAGGTGAAATAAGTTGTCCTCAGAAATTCACTGGGAAATTTTTTCTTATCTTCAAAATATAGCAACAAGATTTTTGCACACGAGAAACATGGAGAAAATGCCATTTTTATATGAAAAGGAGTTTCAAAAATCAGCACACATTCTGGTGGTACATATTATCTCACAAATCAAAATCCCAAAATTGTACCATCCTGAAATTCAACTGCTGTCAATTTCCCTGGGAGGCTGACTTACAATCCACTCTTTACCCCAAAATTTCACCTGCTGGGAGGAGCAAAACATCAAATTTGAAATATAAAACATCGAATTTGAAATTTTCATACAATTTAGCCTTTTAGCCATCAGGCAATGGACTAGGGTCAAAGTGCAGGCCTCCCAATTCCCATCCCATATTCCTATCAGTAAATGAAAAATATCCTACACCTATACATAGAAGTGCATTACATAACATTAGCCTGTTTGGATTATTATTCATAATAGATTCATGACAAGAAGCAAAGCATTTAAAATTTTTCCATATAGATATGTAGCTCAAACTTATTTTAGAAAAAATGTTTATAAAAAGGATTTTTTTTACATGGTGATCAAGTGTCCCTATTTTGGATCAAAGACAATTTGTGAGAGAATCTTTTTGAGACAGGGGACATTCAAGATAGACACCATTTGAGACATCAGAGAGAATTCAAGACAGATGAACTCTCAAACACACACTATTTCAGACACAAGCATTAAAAAAAAATTTTAGTAGATTAAAAAATTAATCTAAAAAACCACGTTTTCAACGAGGACAATTTTGGTAATTAAAGTTGCTCTAGGGGTGATAAGTCTGGAAGGAATTGGGCGACGAACAGGAGTTGTTTGTAGTCTATTTACGGTAGTTGACCTTTGAGGTCGGACGATACTTCGAGAGGTGGGATTTCTTGAGGTTCTAGAACCTCTTGGTCTTCCTCGTGCCATTAAGTTTGAGGGAGGTGTTACTCTCAAAGAGAAGGAAATAGGGGTTGGATTTGATGACTTACTTGGTTCAAGAGAAATACACACAGATGGGAAGGTACACTTTTAATATGATACGTAGAATGTACACTTTAGAAATTTATACACTCGTTTAGAATATAAGAACACTGGTCAGTTTAAATACGTAGATATAACACAAATTGATATACACTGGTACAAAATATGAACACTTGTCAATTCAAATAGATGAGTATAGTATAGATTTAATATACACTTGAAGAATATAAACACTTGTCAAATTACACTTGAAGAATATAAACACTTTGTCAATTCAGATAGATGAATATAGTACAGTTTTTAATATACACTTGTAGAATATGAACACTTGTCAAGATACACTTTGAAGAATATAAACACTTGTTAATTCCGATAGATGAGTACAGTACAGTTTTTGATATACACTAGTAGAATGTAAACCTTTTCAAGTCAGAAAGGAGATGCACTAAAAGACTTTGATGCAGTTTTAACTGCACTTTAGGTGTTTGAAAGAATTTGAGGTTTTCACTTATAGAGTCTAAGGAGAGTTTTGAACAGGTTCTTTTCTAAAAAGAGACGTGAAACCACGCTCTGCTACCAAATTTTGTCAGGAATAAAACCCAACAAATGAAGATTTAGGCAGTGAACCTTATTTGAAGGAGAAATTGAGTATGAAAGTTTGAATGAAACGCAGAAATTCGGTCGGGCTGCGACCGGGGTGAGAACACCCTATTATAACGTTGATATATTCAAGGAAAGCAACGATTGACACTCAATAAATTCGCTCGCGAAGTCTTGGATGAACCGCACGCTCGAGAGGTAGAAACCGGACTGTAATAATTATTGTTATTTTGGAGAACAGGAAAACAGTCCTACAAGGACGAGAAAGTAAGATTAGCAGAGAAATGTAGCCTTGGAGGCTTCCGTAAGTTACGTGAGAACCGAGGATTTCCGAGGTTCTCACGGAAAGTGGAATTTGTCCTCAAGGACGAGAATTCAGGTTCTCAAACTGCCATCTCTAAAAATAGAGCTAAAAAATTCGCATGGTTATTTTGGAGAACAGGAAAACAGTCCTACAAGGACAAGAAAGTAAGATTAGCAGAGAAATGTAGCCTTGGAGGCTTCCGTAAGTTACGTGAGAACCGAGGATTTCCGAGGTTCTCACGGAAAGTGGAATTTGTCCTCAAGGACGAGAATTCGGGTTCTCAAATTGCCATCTCTAAAAATAGAACTAAAAAATTCGCGACAGCATTTAGTAAATACACTGCTGCTGGTATTAAATTTATTGAGTTGGGGAAAAAAGATTGTTTGGTGGAATCTTGAGTCTTGGAAAAATGGAAAAAAATATTAAATTTTTCAAAAATAAAACGCAGGTCGTCCGGGAAGGTGAGGAATGGCCAATAGGGGAAGTTTTCTCCTCTAGAACATTTAATTTGGGACTTTTTTCGGAAATACACCAGTACTTCAATTTGAGTAGAATGGGCCTCAAGCATTTTCAGAGAGACTCAGCACGAATTATTCAGCGACCAAACGAGGTTATTTTCACAAGAAATCCCTCGAAGATAGAGATCAGACACGTTTACCGATGTATCGATTTTCTAAATCACGATAGAACTGAATTCCACAATGTTGGAATGATGTTAAAGCGTTATTGTTGAATAAATTCCACCGAGGCTGCTCAGAGATTATTTTCGGGCATAGGGCTTGGATTTAGAAAGCTATCTGGAAATTTTTCATCAGTACAGGTACTTTTTCAACACTTTGCAATATTTTTATATATTTTTGAAAACACCGCATTCTTCAAGTAGTTTCCAGTAGAAAGCCCTCTTCTTCTTTAAGATGAAAATAGATCAGGACGAAATCGAGGGTTGGAATTTTTTAAATTTATAATTTCAAAAATTAATTTTACCAACGCCGAGTCGGGAGATTATTTTTGGACGGAGGGCTTGATGTAAGAGAGTTACCTGGAAATTGATCATTCCTCATGCTGTGCCTCGTTTAATGATTTCTTCGGCTCATTTTTTTTTTTTTGGGAATCACTACATTCCGCAAGCCAGCTTTCATCAGAATTTTCTTTGAAGGAAAAAAAAATCAGAACGAACCTCGCAAAAAGCTCATTCAGCAGCCGCACAAGTTCCTCCGCTGTGCACTGTTCGGAAAGGCTGGTGAAGCCGCAGATGTCAGCGAAGAGAATGCTGTGTGAGACGAAGTAGAAGAAGAAGAACATATGAAACCAAATAAATGATCAATCTGTTTTCTTCCTATTTTTGTGTGTGTGCCAATATGGGTGCACATAACTCGACGCGACGAAGACCGCGAGACAAAAGATTGAAACCCGAGGTGGACAAAGGGCTGGAGCAGATGAGTTCTGGTGGAGCAGAGCAACAGCTGCTGAATGAACCCTTGGGCACACATTTGCTCTTCTCCGCATTCCTCGCAAAAATAAAAAAAGAAGCCTCACCTAACGTCATTGTGTCTCTGGATGTAAATCTTGTGGAACATGGTGTCACGTGGCTTCCCTGCGATGTCGGCTTTCATCTCCATGGCCACGTGTCTCGGCAGCACGGACAGCAACAGTCGCTCCTGTATTTATATGCAAATCATCAGAGCAGACGAAACTTCGTCACAAGGCATGTCACTGATATGTCAAACAGATTTTGCTATGTACGAGAGAATCAACTTCGAAATGCACACATGCGAAAGCACCTTCTGTCACTCGGCAATTAGGCTCTATTAGGTTTTCTCATAATTAAAGTAATTGTTATTCACTGGTTTGCAGAAATATTCACGCACTCCACGTCGTGTTTCATTTCGATATGTCAAATCAACTACCAGCAATTGTTTCCATATTTCATCAATACACGGGGACGAATGATTTATTTTTCTAATTTTACGTTCAAACGTGGAATGTGAGGAAAATATGTTTTTCGGAGCTCAACGTTTCTATTTAACGAGTGCCTGCGTGGATAATTTCGGATTCTATCAGCCAAAGGCGAATTCTTCCTATTTTCTGCATATGTCTCTGGAAACATATTATTCGTTGGCATGTTACAGTATTTGATTTAAAACAAGAACACATATTTTCAGTAATAAATTCAAACAAGAAAAAAACAGTTTGGGTCCTTTCAGGAAAATATGCAACGAATCATTCTCAAATGCGGGTACTGTAGAAAGCATGATTTAAAAATACTCACTTCTCT